TTTAAACTAGCTTGAAGTTTGAAAACTATTGGTGATTAGATGTGTGATAATATATAGATCGTAAAATGTGAACATGTAGTTTTCTTGGTAGTTAGTAAGTTGCTCCATAAAGAGCAATGAGAATTTTCATAAACTATGAGTGTGCTTTCTGTAGTCATTATAAATAAGATCAGAAATCAGGGAATTTCCTCCTAAGATTCTATTTGACAAAGCAGAAGATATGTTGAGTTTAAGTTTCATTGATTTGAGGTCACAAAGGAGAAATGGGAGCCAATCATCAGCTCATGTTGTTTTCAAGAAAGGTCAATAGAACAGAGGATTATCAAAGAGCCATTCTTTTATTGAAGTTGAAGGGTACGTAAATAAAATGATTTTCCAAGTACATTCGTTTCATTGGTCATTTATAAAAGAGCATTGCTGAAGTTTTGGATTAATCTTTGATATAATAGAGTCAAATTATAAAAATAATGCGAATGGAACAAATCCATTGGGGTATGTCTAGAAAGTTTTAGTTTTCTTTTAACAAAGGCTAAGTAGATAGCGATAAAGCTTTTGTATTGTGATTCAGATAGTAAAGTGAGTTGAGACCTGTACTCGATTTTTAGAAAGAGAACGGTATTAAAAATATAAATTAGTTGTGAGTCTGTAAGGCGTTTATGCTTCATAATAGTAACGGCCTTCTTGATTTCACTGTGTATCTGATTATAAATAAAACTCTTGTTAGACTTGAGCGAGATCTAAACGCCCAAGTAACGAATACTAGCTTTGGGGGAAGAGCGTTGATAGATCATGTAGTATTATTATGACTAATTTTAAAAGTGTGCTGTTGAAGGGTATTGGCTAACAGTTCAGATTTAGACCAATTCACTTGTATATCGTTAAACGTGAAGAAACTATTTACAATGGAAGTAATATTTGTGAAATCCTCCCTAGATTTGGCGAACCAGAGGGTGTTATTCATGTAAGCAAGGACTGGAATCTTTAGACGAGAATTATTAGTAATGGGAAGTCAGACATCTGGACACCATTCAACTTCTGTAACAAAGTCATGCAGAGAATTGTTGATAGCGCATAAAAGCAGATCATAGTATATATACCACAAAAATGATGATATGACTTCACCTTGATCTATTTCTGAATATACCAAGTATATATCAGAATTTCTGTGAGCTATGAAGACCTGGTTGAATCTGGGAAGAAATAATCTCAAAATTATACAGGTGAATTTAAAAGAAAGGCATAATCTTGCAAGAGCCGTGGCAAGAGTGAAGACATTCATATGATCATATACTTTAAACATATCTTGTAAAAGGACCCATAATTCTGTGTTATTATATATGGTGTTCTGCTTAATGTTGTCAAAAAGATGTATGGAGTCAAAAGTGGATTTGAAAGGCAGGCCTGCAAAATTATATCCTTTGAGGATATTATGTTATACAAAGATATTAGCAAGTCTTGAATTGAGCAGACGAATAAAAGCCTTTCTAACGCTTTCTAATAATATGATTGGTCGGGTGTTGTTCAAGTCATATTCTCAAGGTTTCAGTTTAGGGATTGGATAAATATATGCTAAATTCCAACGATGATATATTGACAAAATTTGTAGACAATCACAGATAATGTATCATAAATATATTTTTGAAAGCGGTCCTAGGTGTTTTAACATTTCATTTAAAATTTTTGATGGACCTGAAGCTTTGTTTGGAAATCGATCAATAATCCTATACCATTCATCCGCAGAAGGTAAGGTTATAAATACTTGAATCAATCAAGTCTACTGGAATATATGTAGAAATCCATTCCTTTGGGATCTCTTTCGTATAGTACGTAGTGCCTGTAACTAGTTAGAAATGTCTGACAACCTTTTTTTTAACATCTGGTTTCTCAAAAAGTAAATTGCAAGAAGAAGATGAGTTATCTATACATCTATCTAATATAATAGTTATTTTTCTGCGATTAAGGACTGAGTCAATCATTCGTGATAAATTATGTTTATAATTTTCTATATGGAAGTCTAGCATTTCTTGAATACTCTTGAGCTTGAAATTGTGTTCACGCAGTTCTACTTTTATTTTGAGGCTAGCTAGAAGAATTTTTATATCTGGAAAAATAGTATTAAGCATAATTATGTGAGGAGGATAATTAAGAGAAACAGTATTTAAGCCGTTAGAGTAGGCAAGCTGTAAAAATTGCAAATATAAATTATTCCATTTGTCATGAACAGTAAGGATATTTATATATTTTTTTGTTGTTTTCTCAAAACGATGAAGTAACTTAATGTCATTGTAAATCTTTGAAAGGCAATAGGTTTTTTTGAGGAATGATAATTTTTTACCTTGTGTATAGGAATACATTTTTTGCTATTGATATTAGAGTATCCTGAAAAACGTTTTAAGAGGAATTAAGAAGACTTTGAGATCAAACAGTATTAGATGATATATGTTTTAACGAATTGGAATTCAATTTTTTTTCAATATTGTTACTAAATTTGAACTATTTGGAATCATCAATTAAATTATAATTAAAAGAAGATTTAATTGGACTTTTCCTTGTAGATACGGATTGTTTTAAGAAGTTAATTATTTTGGTTAAAATAATATGGTGGTCAGTGACAAAAGAATATGTTTGTACGATTTTACATTCAAGTATATGGAGCGCTAGTTCAGATGTCATATAAATATAGTCGATCCTGAATGAAGAATTTTTGCTGATGCAAGATGGGTATGATATTTGATCATTTTTGAATTGGACATGAAACACGTCATATAAATCATAATTATTAAGGGAATTAATAAAATTCAAATTAAAAGAAGAGTTGTTAGCACGATTTAAGTCAGCATTTAAATCTCCGATGAGAATAATATGCAGATTATTTTTAATGACATCATCTAATAATTGTTTTAAAAAATTAACAGACTATTTTGTGATGTCAGTTGGAGGGTTAGCAGGCAGAATGTAACGATTAATGACTATGAGTTTTTGTTTGTTCACAAATTGAAGTTTTACGTAAATAATTCTATCTAATTTAGAGTCATGAGCAAAAATGTGTTTAGCAATAAAGGGGCTAAAGGACAGGCTAACACCAGTTTCAATTGATCAGAAGTTTTGATTATTGCTAAAGAAGGTAGTATAAGCAGGAAAGTCTTGATTGAAGATGGATGAGATTCCCTTAAAATTAGTTTCTTATAGACCTATGATGTCAAATTGATTGATTGAATATGAGGAGAAAAGGTAATTTTATTTTGCTAGGTCATTTAAAGAACGGACATTGTGAGTAGTGATTCTAAGATTTGAAAAGGAAGTAATCTGAGTACTAGGAGCATTAATATTATTCATTGTAGGGACAGTATTTATGGTAATAATAATAATTAATTTGGAAAGCTGCTGATGCAACATTCAATGGCTTGTCAAAATCATCAGTTGATGGTTCAAAAATATGTGTGTTATGTTTGTTGAGAATATTTTTGTTAAGGAGTATGATTTGAAGATCATGACAGGATCTGAGTAACTTATTGAGTATAAGAGTGAATTGCAAAATACGTCGTTGTTGTTTTTAGCAAATAAAAACTAATTGTTCATTTGATTGTTTTTGTAGCTGAATGGTATAAAGATCAGTATTGATATGTAGGTACTTTTGGTCAGCTTCAGTAGCAGAGTCAGGTAGGTGGTTGTTAAAATTATCAGCCTTAGCAGAAGTAATAACTTGAATATGAAGGGCTTTTTCAATGACGGTGAGACGTTATTGTGAAAATTTAAATTCAATATAAAGATCAGAAAGAGCATTAGAAATTGAAGTAAGCTGAGAGGTGACAAATTGTTTGAAGTCTGAGTCATGAATTGAACCACCTTTTGCTATACCATTATCTAATTTTGGGGTAGGGAGAACTTCAGTTTCCATGAACTCATCTATGGGATCATCTGCCCATTGCAATTTTAGTTTTTCATTAGAAGATCTATTGGAAGAAGTATTATTTTTAGCTTTAAATGGTGAAGGGGAGGTCTCCTTTTTGGGCCTTCTTGAGAATTATTAATTTGTTACGAAGTCTTAGTCACGTGAGTAAAAGTAATATTTTTACGAATAGCGCCTCGTATTAGACTACGCTTTAGTGCTATATAATTATTAAATTAGGTCGGTTGAAATCTTTAATAAAGATTTTGCATGTTACGATCCTTAAGAGATTGATGACGTCTAGGCAAGAAGAAGCATTGTAATGTGCAGATGAATAAACTGCATAAAGTTTGACTTTTGGGTCAGTCTATTCCAATTTTTTATTGTTTAGAGTCAAATTTTTAATTTCCATAGCAGCCTGAGTATCTTCTTTGTTGAAAAAATAGAAGAAGACATATTGTAGATAATTGTAATTAGAGCGGGCTCTAAGGATGATCCACGCAGTAGTAGAGACCATATTTTTAAAATTTTGGAAGTCACGTGGTGTAATATTTCAAGGAAAATTTATTAGTTTTGCTGAGAAGGTAGAATAAGCTTAAATGTCAGACTTAAAAAGGCTACAAGGATAGTAGTAAATCATGTTGTTGAGAAGATAAATCCCATCTTCTTTTTTTAATTCTTTGAAATTAGCCTTTTCGTCGAAGGTGATTGTGGCTTTTTGCTAGAGGTTTTTCGTTTCCATAATAAAATGAACAATATTGCCAAATTTAAAAAATAATTTATGTAATCTTATTTCTGTGGCATCTATTTGAATTTCTGTAACCATGATCGATAGAATGGGTACGTAAGGGCAGATTTTTGATGTCTAAAGGTTAGAACGTGGTATCTTCCATATCGGGAGATTTGCATTTGCAAAATTCGTCATGTTCAACTTTGTCTAAAAAGGCAACTTTAATAATAGCCTGATTGTGATCGATAGGATGCTTTCCTTTTGTGACAATGATAAATGAGTTGTACTTATCATAGCACAAATCGGTGATCTTTGAGATCTTTATTTGGGGTTTGGACTACAGAGTTTATCCATTTGAATATATGCGAAAAATTTGGTGACTTAAGTCGAGGAAGCATCAAAGCTGATAGTTAAAGTATTTAAGATATTTTCTGATGCGTCAAAGGACTCGTCAATACTAACAGTTAGTTTAGGCGCAGTAGTTTCAAAAGTTGAGGTTGAAGTAATAACTACAAGACTTTTTTCTTTATCAAGGTTATTAGACAAACTTTCCTCGAGTGGGTCAACTTCTATAGAGCTAGTTTCTACTAGAAGGATAGTTGGAGTGGATCCTATTACATATGTAAGAGAGAGATCATTGTCTAAAGTTTGTTGTGTATTTTGTTTCTTTTTTGGTAACTTATCAGATATTGGTGATGCAGAGCGACCGTGGTTGGTATTCTTTCTTTCAGTTTTTTTTGGCATTTTTTGAAAATTGTTGGAAAGGTAGAAAGATAAAATAAACATTTTTTTTTCTTTTTAAAGTGCGGTAGTTTCGCAATATCTTTATTATGAGAGTAAAATAAAAATAAAATACAAATCAAAAGAAATTACAAAATCTCGTAAAAAACTAATCTAAGACTAAAACTATAGAAGACTGACCCTGCACTCCCCAAAATCAATTTATAACCTAAGCTAAAAAAATCACTTTTTGAGCAAGAATATAAAAGAAAGCGAAGAGAGCGAGTCCACTACTGCACTAAAAATTTGACCAATAGGATCCCATTCATACTATTGAAGAGATAGAAGAGGAGCTAAAAGAATGAATAGAGGGGTTAGAAGATAGATCATAATTTGATGTAACAAAATTGGCAGTCTTAGAATCAAGGGTAATGTTGGAAGATTTTTCAAAATCATGAACAAGTTGACAACAATCATGCCAAACACTTTGTGTGGGTTCAAAAATTAAATGTATGAAGGAAGAGCAAGCAGCTAAGGCTAATTGTTGTGATGAAAATTTTTTAAGAAAGAATTTAAAAGAGGGTATTGAAACTATTCCTCTGATAAGAGCAAAGAATTCAGAAGTATTGTAAGTATCGAGCAGTCAACAATTCAATTGATCAATTTCATAATCATGTGCATAAGTGATTTCTTTCAGATAATATTTAGATTGGTTAATTAACTTTTTCATTTCATAATTAACAGTAGAACACATCTATATGTGATAGAAGTTTTCATTAGCGGCATCACATCTGAAACACAAGAGTAAGGGTCATAAATAAATAGATGTTATAATTTGAGAATCTCAAAAGTTGGTAGCATTTTAAGAAGACATTGATATTTCATTCTTTTAACAAAGGAAGCAGAATATGATGTAGATTGTGATGCAGTATTGTCATTGAGTATGAAGGAGGTGGCAAACCATTTGATTTGATAAAGTTGTAAGTGTTTTGCTAGGACAGAGAGTTATAGTAACCATGAGAGAGAACGTTCACAGAAACGTTCTTTGCAAAATTGTCTGATAAGTATTAAAACTGAGGCATTGCTATGTGTAAAATAATATCAAGAAGCATTATTCATATAAAGTTGAAGTGCTGTGATATTCAAACTGGATTTTGCTAGAGTATCGACTTTGTTGTTAAAGATATTATCAGTGTGAGCTTTGACTTTGATCATTTTAACAGTGAGATTGTGAGTGTCTATTATTTCAAAAAAAACAAGACCAATGTACATAATTATTAATTTTGAGAGTAGGGTGAACAGTGGAAGCTTTTGTAAAGAGGAATATATATTTGTTGAATTGAGATATGATAACTGCTGAATTAGTATAAAAAGTAATATTACAGGAGGGGGAGCTGTAAGTAAGGCAGTAAAAATAGCTGCAAATTCAGGTAATGAAGAAGAAGGAAAAGAAGATGCAAAGGTAGAGGAAAAGGAAACTATTGGTAAACTTTGGTGAGTCTGAAGCCAGGCAATACCCATTCTTATCGAGGAAAGACCTAAGTCTTGTAAAGATCCATCTGTGTAAAACTTTAAAACAGAAGAAGAAGAAAAAGAATGAGATAAAATTAATAATTGGGAATTATATGGAGATGACAAATATTTGTCAAATAAATTTGTGAAGGTAGACGCAGTAAAGTTTCTTAGGGTTACAAATAAACTCTGATTGCTATTTTTTAAAAAACAAGTTAGGGTGAGTTCGTACAGAACACTGTTAGACAAAACACTATGGGTTCAGTCAATACGATCATTTTTTAACGAGGTTGAAATTCTTGCACAAAGGGAAATGGGTAACATAAAGCAATAATTGTCGTAACAGCCTCTAAATTTGATAGCAGATTCTTGATGAATTTGGCAACGAACACAAGGATCGAGAATTGTTATATTATCAGGTCCAATTGAAAGTACATGATGCATTAGATGTATTGTGTCTTGATCAATTTTAATAATTCTTCCTAGGACGAAGTAATTGACCGAAGTATACCAACCAACTGCAAATCTGAGGTATAGTGAGAGTAGGTAGGAGGAGAGATAGAGTAGCCATAACAGTACTTATGTTTAAAATTATTTGCAAATGATAGTACTCTGTCTTGATCAGGATTAAGATGAAGTTCTAAGACTTTAAACCAACTTGCAGTTTGAAAACTATGGGTGACTGGATGCGTGATAATGTACAGATCACGAAATGTGAACATGTAATTTCCTTGATAGTTAGTGAGTTGCTCCATGAAAAGCAATGAGAACTTTCGTAGCCCAGGAGCATACTTTCTATATTCATAATTTAAAAATTTGGAAATCAGGAAGTTTCTTCCTAAAATTCTGTTTGATAAAGCTGAAGGTACATTGAGTTTGAGCTTCATTAACTTGAGGTCACAAAGGAGAGATGGGAGCCAATCATCAGCTCGTGTTATTTTCAAGAATGGCCAGTAGAAAAAAAGGATTATCAAAGAGTCATTTCTTCTGTTGAAGTTGAAGGTTACGTAAATAAAAAGATCTTCTGAGTATATTTGTTTCATTGGACATTTGTAGTAAAGCATTGCTGAAGTTCTGGATTAATCTTTGATATAAGGAGGTCATATTGTAAAAATAATGTGAATGGAACAAATCCGTCTGGGTATGTCTGAAAAGTTTTAGTTTCTTTTTGACAAAGACTAAGTAGGTAGCGATAAAGCTTTCGCATTGTGATTCAGACGGCAATGTAAGTTGAAACCTGTACTCGATTCTTAGAAAGAGAACGGTATTATAAATGTAAATTAATTATGAGTCTGTAAGGTGTTTATGTTTCATAATGGTAATAGCCTTCTTGATTTCACTGTGTATCTGATTATAAATAAAACTCTTGTTAGACTTGAGTGAGATTCAAACACCCAAGTAATGAATACTAGCTTTTAGGAAAAGCGCATTGATTAAACATGTAGTATTTTCATGATTGATTTCAAAAGGACGCTGTTAGGAAATGTTGATCAAGAGTTCCAATTTTGACCAATTCACTTGTATATCGTTAAAAGCGAAGAAACTGTTTGCAATAGATGTAATATTTGTGAGATCTTCCCTAGATTTAGCGAACTAGAGGGTATAATCCATGTAAGCAAGTGCTAGAATCTTAAGACGAGAGTTATTAGTAATAGGATGACAGGCATCAGAACGCCATTCGACTTCTGTAACAAATCCATGTGAAGAATTGTTAATAGCACATAAAAGCGGGTTGTAATATATACAATACAAAAGTGGTAAGATAACTTCGCCTTGATCTATTCCTGAATATACCAAGTAGGTATCAGAATTGCTGTGCGCTGTAAGATTTAGTTGAATCTAGAGAGAAAAAGTTTTAAAATTGTTTGGATGAATTTGTAAGGAAGGCGTAATCTTGCAAGAGCTGCAGCAAGAGTAAAGACATTCACACGATCATATGCTTTAGACATATCTTGTAATAGGACGTATAATTCTGTATTATTATAAACGGCATTCTGTTTGATATTATCAAAAAGATGTATGGGTCAAAGGTGGATTTGAAACGCAGACCCGTAAAATTATATCCTTTCAGAATGTTATGTTGTACAAAAATGTCTGTGAGTCTTGAATTGAGCAGATGAACAAAAGCTTTCTGGACGCTTTCTAATAATGTTATTAGACGGGTATTATTTAAGTCATATTCCCATGATTTTAGTTTAGGGATTTGATAGATATATGTAAAATTCCAGCAATGAGGTATTGACGAAATTTCAGAAAGCCACATATAATATACCATAGATATTTCTTCGTGAGCGGTCCTAAATGTTTTAACATTTCATTTAAATTTTTGATGGTCCTGGGACTTTATTGTTGGGAAGTTGATCAATGATCCTATACCATTCATTCGCAAAAGGTGAAGACATCAAGTTATTATAGATGCTTGAATCAATCAAATCTACTAAGGTATATGTAGAAGTCTATTCTTCTGGAATCTCTTTCACACAGTGCGTGTTGCCTGTAACTTGTTGAAAATGTCTGGCAACTTCTTTTTTAACATCTGGTTCATCAAAAAGTAAGTGACGAGATGAAGACTAATTATCAATGCATCTATCCAATATAATAGTTGTTTTTCTGTGATTAAGAACTGAGTCAATCATTTGAGATGGGTTGTGTTTATAATCTTCTATACAGGCGTCTAACACTTCTTAAATGCTCTTGAGTTTGAAATTGTATTCACGCAATTCCGCTTTTACTTTTAAACTAGCTAGAAGAAGTTTTATATCTGAAAGAATAGTATTGATCATTGTGATATGAGGAGGACAATAAATAGGAATTGTGTTTAAACTATTGGAATGAGCAAGCTGTAAAAATTGTGAATAAAGGTTGTTCTATTTGTCATATACAGAAGTGCTATTCAGACACTTTTTTGTCATTTTTTCAAAATGATAAAGTAATTTTATGTCATTGTAGATCTTTGATAGGGCTACAGGTTCCTTAAAGAATGATAATTTTTTGCCTTGTGGATTGGAATACATTTTTTTGCCACAGAGATGAGAGTATCTTGAAAAAGGTTCTAAAAAGAGTTGAGAAGACTTTGGGACCAGACGATATTGGATGAAATATGTTTCAACAAATTGGAGTTTAAATTATTATCTAAGTTATCTCTGAATTTGAACTATTTCAAATCGTTCATTAGATTATAATTGAAGGAAGATTTGACTGGACTTTTCTTTATAGATACTGAGTGTTTTAGGAAATTAATAATTTTTGACAAGACAATATAATGGTCTGTAATATAAAAATCTGTTTGTACAATTTTATAATCAAGTATATTGAGCGCTAATTCAAATGTCATGTAAATATAATCGATCTTGGATGAAAAATTTTTATTAATGCAAGATAGGTATGATGTTCAGTCATCTTTAAATTGAATGTTAAACATATCGTATAAATCGTAATTGTTGAGAGAATTAACAAAATTTAGATTAAAGGAGAAGTTGTTAATACAGTCTATATCAGCATTTAAATCTCTGATGAGAATAATATGCAAATCGTTTTTGATGGCATCATCTAGTAATCATTTTAAAAGAACAACGGATTGTTTTGTAATGTCTGTTAGAGGGTTGGCGGGTAGAATGTAACAATTAATGACCATTAATTTTTGTTTGTTTGCAAATTGAAGTTTTGCATAAATAATTCTATCTAATTTGGAGTTATGAGAAAAATGTGTTTAGTGATGAGAGGGCTAAAGGAAAGGCTAACACCAGTCCCAATTGATCAAGAATTTTGGTTATTGCTAAAAAAAGTAGTATAATTTGAAAAATCTCAGTTGAAAATAGATGATATTCCTTTGAAAATTGTTTCTTGCAGACCTATGATGTCAAATTGATTAACTGAATATAAGGAAAAAAGGTAATTTTATTTTGTTAGGTCATTTAAAGAATGGACGTAATAAGTAGCGATTCTAAGATTTGATGAAGAAGAAGTGTGACAAATAGGAGTATTAGTATTATTCATTATAGGGACAGTATTCATGATAAAGATAAAAATTAATTTGAGAAGCTGCCGATGCAGCATTCAATGGCTTTGTCAAAATCATCAGTCAATGATTCGAAAATTTGTGTATCGTATTTGTTGAGAATATTTTTGTTAAGAAGTGTGGTTTGGAAATCATGACAGGATCTAAGTAACTTATTGAATAGAAGAGTAAATTGCGAAATACATTGTTATTATTTTTGACAAATGAGAACCCGTTGATCGTTTGTTTGTTTTTATAAATGCATAATGCAAAGATTGGTGTTAATATGTAAGGATTTTTGATCTACTTCAGTGGCAGTATCAAGTAAGTTATTATTAAAATCATCCGTCTTAGCAGGAGTGACGATTTAAATGTGAAGGGCTTTTTCAATGACGGCAAAACATTGTTGCAAAAATTTAAATTCAACACAAAGATCAGAGAGAGCATTAGAAATGGAAGTAAGTTGAGAGGTAACAAATTGTTTGAAATCTGGGTCATGAATTAAACCACCTTTTGCTGTACCATTATCTAATTTTAGGGTAGGGAGAACTTCAGTTTCTATGAACTCATCTATGGGATCGTTTGCCCATTACAATTTTGGTTTTTCATTAGAAGATTTATTGGAAGAGGTATTAGTTTTTGCTTTGAGTGGTGGATGTGAGAAGGTCTTCTTTTTGGTCCTTCTTGAGAGTTAATAATTTGTTGCAGAGTTTTGGTCACGTGAGCGAAAGTGATATTTTTACGAACAGCACCTCTTATAGGACTACGTTTTGGTGCTGTGTAATTATTGAATTGAGCTAGTTGGAATCGCTGGTAAAGATTTTGCATGTTATGATCCTTGAGAGATTGATGACGTCTGGGGCAAGTAGAAGCGTTGTGATATGTAGATGAACAAACTACACAAAGTTTGACTTTTGGGTCAGTCCATTCCAATTTTTTATTGTTTAGAGTCAGATTTTTAATTCCCAAAGCAGCCTGAGTACCTTCTTTGTTGGAAAAATAAAAAAAGGCATGTTGTAGATAATTATAATTAGAACAGGCTCTGAGGATGATCCACATAGTAGCAGAAATTATATTTCCAATATCCTGTAGGTCACGTGGTATAATGTTTTGAGAAAGATTAGTTAGTTTTGCTGATAAGACAGAGTGAGCTTGAATTTCAGTTCTAGAAAGGCTACAAGAATAGTAGCGAATCATATCATTAAGAAGATAAATCCCATCTCCTTTTTTTAATTCTTCGAAATTGGCTTTTCATCGAAGGTAATTGTGGCTCTTTGCCAAAGTTTTTTGTTTCTATGGTGAAACGGACGATGTTACTGAATTTGGAAAATAATTTACGTAGTCTATTTTCTGTAGCGTCCAAAGGAATTTCTGTGATTATAATCGACAGAACGGATACGTAAGATGCAGATTTTTTGATATCAAGGGGTTAAAATGTGGTATCGTCTATATCAGGAGATTTGTATTTATAAAATTCATCACATTCGATTTTGTCCAAAAAGGCAACTTTAATAATAGCCTGATTGTGCTCAGTAGGATGTCTTCCTTTTGTGGCAATGATAAATGAGTTGTACTTATCGTAGCATAAATCGATGATCTTTGAGATCTTTATTTAAGGGTTTGGGTCACGGAGTTTATCCATTTAAATAAACGTGAAAAATTTAGTGACTTAGGTTAAAGGAGCATCAAAGCCAAAGGTTGAAGTATCTAAGATATTTTCTGATGCGTTGAAAGACTCATCGACACTTACTGTTGATTTAGGCGTAGTAGTTTCAGAAATTGTAGAAGTTGAAGTAATAATTTCAGAAGTTTTTCCTTTATTGAAGTTGTTGGACGAACTTTTTTCGACTGGGTCGACTTCCATTGTAATGGACTTTTCTGGAAGGACAGTTATATTGGATCCCGTTACATATGTGAGAAAGAAGATGTTGTCTAAAGTTTGTTGAGTATTCTGTTTCTTTTTGGTAACTTGTCAGATATTGGCAACGCAAAACGACCGTGGTTGGTATTCTTCCTTTCAGATTTTTTGGCATTTTTGCAGATTTGTTGGAAAGGTAAAAAGAGTTTTTTAAAAAAAATAAAATAAACATTTTTTTTTTTTTTAAAGTGCGGTAGTTTCGCAATATTGAGAGTAAGAAATAAAAATTTAAAAACAAATCAAAAGAAATTACAAAAATCTCATAAAAAACTAATCTAAGACAAACTATAGAAGACCGACCCAGCACTTCCCCAAAATCAATTTATAACCTAAGCTAAAAAAATCACTTTTTGAGTAAGAATATATAAGAAAGCGAAGAGGACAAGACCACTACTGCACCAAAAATTTGACCAATAAGATCCCATCCATACCATCAAAAATATAGAAAGAGAACTAAAAGAGTAGAAAAAAGTGTTAGAAGATAGATTATAACCTGATGTAACAAAATTGGCAGCCTTGTAATCAAGGACAATGTTGGAAGATTTTTTAAAATTATGAATAATTTAACAATGATCACGCTAAACATTTTGCGTGAGTTCAAAAATTTGATACATGAAGGAAGAGAAAGCAGCTAAAGCTAAACATTGTGATAAAAGTTTTTTAAGGAAAAATTTAAAGAGGGGTATTGGAAATATGCCTCTGATAAGAGCAAAAAATTCGGAAGTATTGTATGTATCAAGTAGCCAACAGTTCAACTGATAAATTTCATAATCATGTGTATGGGTGATATTTTTCAAATAATTTTTAGATTGTTGAATTATCTTTTTCATTTTATGGTTGACAGTGGGACACATCTATATGTGATAAAAGTTTTCATCAGCGGCATCACATCTGAAACACAAGAGTGAAGAGACATAAATAGATGGATGACGTAATTTGAGAATCTCAAAAATGGGTAACATTTCAAGAAGACGTTGATATTTCATTCTTCTAACAAAGGAGGTAGAAAGGATATTGATTGTATTGCCGTATTGTCATTGAGTATGAAGGAAGTGGCGAACCAATTAATTTAAAAGTGCTGTAAGTGTTTTGCAAGAACAAAGAGCTGAAGTAACCTTGAGAGAGAACATTCACAGAACAGTTTTTTACAAAATTGTCTAATAGGTATTAAGATAGGAGTACTGTTATGTGAGAAATAGTATCGAGATGTATTATTCGTGTAAAGGTGAAGGGCTGTGGTGTCCAAACAGGATTTTGATAGAACGTTGACTTTGTTATTGAAGATAATATCGGAGTGAGCTTTAAACTTTGATCATTTTAACAGTAAGGTTGTAAGTGTCCATTATTTCAAAAAAACAAGACCAATGCATGTAATTATTAATTTTGAGAGCAAGGCGAATAGTGGAAGCTTTTGTAAAGAGAAATCTGTATTTGTTGAATCAGTATAAAAGTAACATTACAGGAGGGGGAGCTGTAAGTAAGGCAGTAAAAATAGCTGCAAATTCAGGTAATGAGGAGGAAGGAAAAGAAGAAGTAAAGGCAGTGGAAAAGGAAACTATTGGTAAACTTTGGTGAGTTTGAAGCCAGGCCACACCCATTCTTATCAAGAGAAGACCTAAGTCTTGCAAGGATTCATCTGTATAAAATTCTAAAACAGAAGAAGAAGAAAAAGAATAAGATAAAATTAATAATTGGAAATTATATGAAAGTGACAAATATTTGTCAAATAAATTTGTGAAGGTAGACGCAGTAAAGTTCCTTAGGGTTACAAATAAACTCTGGTTGCTATTTTTTAAAAAATAAGTTAGGGCGAGTTCGTACAGTACACCGTTAGATAAAACACTATTGGTTCGGTCAATATGATCATTTTTTAACAAAGTTGGAATTCTTGTACAAAGGGAGATGGGTAATATGAAGCAACAATTGTCGTAACAGCCTCTAAATTTGATAGCAGATTCTTGATGAATTCGGCAACAAACATAAGGATTGAGAATTGTTATATTGTCAGGTCTAATTGAAGATACATGATGCATTATATATATTGTGTCTTGATCAATTTTGATAATTCTTTCTAGGACGAAGTAATTGACTGAAATATGCCAGCCAACTGCAAATCCAGGGATTTGGTGTGAGTAGGTAGGAGGAGTGATGGAGTAGCCATAACAGTATTTGTGTTTAAAATTTGCGGATGATAGCCTCTGTCTTGATTAGGATTAAGACGAAGTTCTAAAGCTTTAAACCAACGTGCAGTTTGAAAACTTCAGGTAACTAGATGCGTGATAACATACAGATCACGAAATGTAAACATGTAATTTCCTTGATAGTTAGTGAGTTGCTTCATGAAAAGTAAGGAGAACTTTCATAGCCCAGGAGCATGCTTTCTGTATTCATAATTTAAAAGTTCAGAAATCAGGAATCTCTTCCTAAAATTCTATTTGATAAAGCTGAAAGTACATTAAGTTTGAGCTTCATTAATTTGAGGTCACAAAGGAGAGATGGGAGCCAATTATCAGCTCGTGTTGTTTTTAAGAAAGGCCAGTAGAAAAGGGATTATCAAAGAGCCATTCTTTCTATTGAAGTTGAAGGATACGTAAATAGAAGGATCTTCCAAGTATATTTGTTTCATTGGACATTTGTAGTAAAGCATTGCTGAAGTTCTGGATTAATTTTTGATATAAGGAGGTCAGATTATAAAAGTAATGTGAATAGAACAAATCCGTTGGGGTGTGTCTGGAAAGTTTTAGTTTTCTTTTGACAAAGGCTAAGTAGGTAGCGACAAAGCTTTTGCATTGTAATTTAGATGGCAATGTAAGTTGAGACCTGTACTCAATTCTTAGAAGGAGAATGGTGTTAAAAATATAAATTAATTGATAGTCTATAAGGCGTTTGTGCTTAATAATGGTAACGGCCTTCTTAATTTCATTGGGTATCTGATTATAAATAAAACTCTTGTTAGACTTGAGCGAGATCCAAACACCCAAGTAACGAACACTAGCTTTTGGAGAAAGTGCATTGATCAATCATATAGTATTATCATGACTGATTTCAAAAGAACGTTGTTAGGGAATATTGACTAGGAGTTCTGGTTTTGACCAATTTACTTGGATATCGTTAAAAGCGAAGAAACTGTTTGCAATAGATGTAATCTTTGTGAGGTTCTCCCTAGATTTAGCGAGCCAGAGGGTATCATCCATGTAAGCAAGTACCAGAACTTTTAGATGAGAATTATTAGTAATAGGAAGACGGGCATCAGGACGCTATTCGACTTCTGAAATGAATCCATGCAGAGAATTGTTGATAGCGCATAAAAGTAGGTCATAGTATATATACCACAAAAATGATGATATGACTTCACCTTGATCTATTTCTGACTGTACTAAATAGGTATCAGAATTGCCGTATGCTGTAAAGATTTAGTTGAATCTAGAGAGAAAAAGTTTCAAAATTGTTTGGATGAATTTGTAAGGAAGGAGTAATCTTACAAGAGCTGCAACAAGAGTAAAAACATTCACACGATCATATGCTTTAGACATATCTTGTAACAGAACCCACAATTCTGTATTATTATGAATAGCATTCTGTTTAATGTTATTAAAGAGGTGTATTGGGTTAAAGGTGAATTTGAAAGGTAAACCTGCAAAGTTAAATCCTTTAAGAATGTTGTATTGTACAAAAATATCAGCAAGTCTTGAATTGATCAGATGAACAAAGGCTTTCTAAGCGCTTTCTAATAAGGTTATTGGTTAGGTATTATTTAAATCATATTCCTACGGTTTTGGTTTAAGGATCGGGTATATATATGCCAAATTCTAACGATGAGATATTAATGAAATTTGCAGACTGCTACATATGATGTACCATAGACATTTCTTCGCTATTGGTCCTAAATGTTTCAACATTTCATTTGAAATCTTTGAGGGTCCTGAGGCTTTGTTGTTAGGAAGTCGATCAATGATCCTATACCATTCATCTGCAGAAAGTAAGGATATTAAGTTATTATAGATGCGGGAATCAATTGAGTCTAATGGGGTGTATGTAGAAATCCAATCTTCTAGATCTCTTTAGTAGGATGTGTGGTGCCTGCAACTTGTTGAAAATGTCTGGCAACTTCTTTTTTAACATCTGGTTCTTCAAAAAGTAAATTACGAGATGAGAATGAATTATCAATACATCTATTCAATATAATAGTTGTTTTTCTGCGATTAAGGACTGAGTCGATCATTTGAGATGGATTGTGTTTATAATCTTCTACACAGGCGTCTAAAGCTTCTTTAATACTCTTAAGCTTGAAATTATGTTCACGCAGTTCCACCTTTATTTTAAGGCTCGTTAGAAGAATTTTGATATCTAGAATAATAGTGTTAAGCATTGTTACGTGAGGAGGGCAATTTAAAGGAATAGTATGCAAATTATTGGCATGAGCAAGTTGTAAAAATTGTGAGTATAGATTATTCCATTTGTCATATACAGAAAGGTCTTTTAGACACTTTTTTGTAGTTTTGTCAAAACGATGTAGTAATTTTATATCATTGTATATTTTTGACAGGGCGATGGGTTTTCTTGAAGAGTGATAATTTTTTGCCTTATGTATCAGAATACATTTTTTTGCAACAGAAATAAGAGTGTCTTGAAAAAGGTCCTAAGAAGAGTTAAGAAGACATTGGGACCAGACAGTATTGGATGAAATATGTTTCAATGAATTGGAATTTAAGTTATTATCCAAGTTGTCTTTAAATTTAGACCATTTCGAATCGTCCATTAGATTATAATTGAAGGAAGATTTGACAGGATTTTTTCTTGTAGATACTGAGTGTTTTAGGAAGTTAATAATTTTTGTCGAAATAATATGATGGTCTGTAATGAAAGAATCTGTTTGTACAGTTTTGCAATCAAGTATATTAAGCGCTAATTCAGGTGTCATGTAAATATAGTCTAACCTAGATGAAGAATTTTTATTAAAGCAAAAAGGGTATGATTTATGGTCATCTTTAAATTGGACATTGAACGCATCGTATAAATCGTAATTGT